CGAGTGATGTTACTTAGCGTCCACTCTGGACCAGGGACTGTGCGAAGCACTTTATCCTGTGACCCCTCGTGAGGCAGATCACAGACCTTCTTTCCACGTCAGTTGAGAAAACTGCGGCCCAGAAAGGGGATACTTTCTTCCTTTCTTTTCTTTTTTTTGTGGGGGCGTCAGAGTCTCACTGTGTCGCCCAGACTGACTGGAGGGCAGCGGCACGCTCCGGCCACCGCAGCCTCGACCCGCTGGGCTCCGGCGATCCTTCCGCCTCAGCCTTCCGAGTGGCTGGAACTACAGGCGCGCACTGCCACGCCCGGCTAATTTTTTATTTATCGTAGAGACCAGGTCTCGCCAAGTTGCCCCGGCGGGTCTCGAACCCTCGGGCTCAGGCAACCCACTCGCCTCAGCCTCCCACAGTGCAGTTGTGAGCCACTGCTCCCGGCTTTTCTGTTTTTTGAGTCGAGGTCTCACTCTGTCATGCCCAGGCTAGAGTGCCGTGGCACGGGTCGCAGCTCACTGCCGTCTCCAACTCCTGGGCTCAAGCGACCCTCCTGCCTCGGCCTCAAGAGTAGCTGGGATTACAGGCATGTGCCACCCCGCCCGGCTGAGTTTTGGTCTTCGGTGGAGATGAGATTTCACCATGTTGCCAGGCTGGTCTGGAACTCCTGGGCTCACGTGATCCCCCTGCCTCAGCCCCATTTCCCAAAGTGCCGTGATTACAGGCATGAGCAAGAGGGGAGACTTCCCAACGGGGAAGCTCGTGCACTCCCCGAGCCCAGGCTTTGTTCTGGTTGCTGTGGCTCCCTGAGTCCTGACCCGGGCCAGAGCAGGCCGGCTCCTGAGAACTGTCTGCCCACAGATGGCTTCGTGCCCCTGGGCACCCTCCTGCGGTTGCCCCAGTTCCGCGGCTTCTCGGCTGAAGACGTGCAGCGCGTGGTGGACGCCAATGGGAAGCAGCGGTTCGCCCTGCAGCTGGGGGATCCCAGCACCGGCCCTCTCATCCGGGCCAATCAGGGCCACTCCCTGCAGGTGGGGGCCGAGGGGACGGCAGGGGAGCCAGACGGGACCTCTGGCATGAAGGGGTCTCACTGCCGCCTGTTTGACCAGGTGCCTGCCTTGGCGCTGGTGGCCCTGGAGACGCCCCAGGCCCTGCCCCAGGTGCTGGTGCATGGTACATTCTGGAAGCACTGGCCATCCATCCTGCTCGAGGGCCTGTCCCGCCAGGGAAGGACACACATCCACCTGGCCCCAGGACTGCCAGGGGACCCTGGCGTCGTCAGTGGTCAGTCCCACCCCTCTGCCTAGATGCTCTCGCCCCCTTGTCCTCCCGGGTCCCCTCCAAGGCCGCAGCCTCACTCGTCCGAGGTCACCCCGTGCCCTGCATGGAGGAGCGCCCTGCCCATCCCCCAGCCCAGGACCCCGTCTGCCCAGGGACCCCTGACCCAGCCCCAGCTGTCTCTGCAGGCATGCGGCCAAACTGCGAAGTAGCCGTGTTCATCAACGGACCCCTGGCCCTGGGAGGTGAGTCTGGACCCAGAAGGGACTGGCCTTGGCCTCGGCGAGGGCGTGGGTCACATCTCCGGCTCCCTGGGCAGATGGCATACCCTTCTTCCGCGCGGCCAACGGGGTGATCCTGACTCCAGGGAACGCTGACGGCTTCCTGCTTCCCAAGTACTTCAAGGAGGCCCTGCAGCTGCGCCCCACGCGTGAGAAGCACCACCGGCCCCGCCCCCATCCCTGGTGCCCGAAGCCCGGCCCTCCCGCCCT